GAATATGTCAGAAAACACGGCGTGAGAGAGCCTTTTTTTTCATTTTTATTTTATAATTGGAGAAAAGAAATGAACACTTCAATGTTTCGAAAGTATATAATAGTAAAAATGATAAACTGAAAAAAAGAGCCTATGTCATGTTTCGCATCTTGATATACTCTTTCAAACAAAAGAAAAAGTAATTCGATGCAATGAAGCTCCTTCAAGAATTCTGCAATGCCCGATCAAAAAAACAGAAGCAACAACTTTCGCAAGAAAAGAGATGTCGAATAAAAAGTCTTTTAATTTATGAACGGTCAGACGTCGGCATATATTCTCCCATGTGTTTATTTTAATTTTGATAATTCTGACGAATATTGACTGTTTACGAGGAACTTCAGAAACATCGGAGGTAACTTATTTTCGAATTTCGACTACAAAATTCGCATAGTGATATGCCTTAAATAGTATATTTTGTTGTCAAAATTTTAGGTCTTTTGATTCGCCGCTTTCCTGAAATAAGAACATTGAATCTATCAGTGTTGATGAAAGATGTAAAAGACATGCTTTTACCATAAATTGGGTCTTAAGATAGAAAAGATTAGAAACTTTATCAATGAGCTATTTTGTTTAAGATGTATCCCTGTGCAAATTTCGAAAATAAGCTTTTTCGATATCCCTGAGGATGCTATGGGTCCAATTAAAAAATTACCGTAAAAATTCAGTATCTCGATAGAAATACTAAACTTTTTCGCTTTCTTTTTTTCATGTTGTTCAGGCATGATATTATGGCTACTAGTAGATCTATGTGAGACTAAGAGCAACATAAATGAATTTGAACCCACAATCTAATGATCACGAGTTATGGTTATTTTAATAAGTTTTGTACTTTGAGTAGGGCAGTTCGAAAAATATCAAAATGAAGAATTTTGTTGTACAATGTTGCCTAAAGATAGAGATAAAAAAAACTTCTGAAAATTTCAATGAAAATGAAGATGCTGTTCTCGAGAAATTCAATTTCTGAAAAACGGCAGCTTACTACAGAAGGACACAATAGTAAAATTTGTTTGAAAATTGAGTATATCAAGAACAATACGTTCGTTTCCGTTGGAACTTTCAAACTTTATAATGATGGTTACTTCGATCTCTAGGCGACAGTTCAGGATACAATGCTCTATCGTGATATTTTCGGAAATGCCTTACTTTGACAAAAGAGTACAGTAAAACATCTACAACTTTTCATCCTTAGATCATGTTACCGAATCATTTTAGGTTTTTGTTTTGTCTCAAATACATCCACATCCCTCGTAGGTATCGACTAGTTTTGCAGCACACTGTTGTGGAGCTATTCGATAAATAAAAATGTGCTGAAGAGTATATAAAATCATATGTATATCATTTGTTTTAAATATTAATCATCTTGAAAATAAGATTTCATAAATTATTGAATTCTTTGGTTTTTTTCTACCTCGTGAAATGTCAGTAGGTATGGCTAATAGTAAAAGCTTTGGTTGCAGAACTGATTGATGTTTGGATCTTTCGAATTTATTAAATTCAATACTTTTGACTTCTGATTTCAGTTATTTTCCTAATTTATTTCCATAAAAATAATATAGAGCCTTACATTAAACAGAAAATTCAAACAAAGCAGAAAACATTATCTTAAACATTTTTCATACAATAAAAGACTTAAATTATCGCAGTGTTTTTGATAATATCATTACTGTTTCACATACTCAATTTGAGTTTTTTCGCCAAAGAAAATAGAAAAAAAAAAATTTTATCGTTCAACTGAATAATAAGCATCAATTTTTTAAAATTTTTGTTGTAATCAATCCTATTTCCTCTATTCATTCACTTGTTTATTGTAACCGACTTTTCATCAAGTTTTTGAACGTGAAATATCAACTTGGAACATCATCTTATGGTTCTAAAGTTGACTATGAGGAAAACTAATGTCACATAGAACTCGATCATCAACTTCAATCTAACCTTATAGCTTGGTGAAATACTTTACGAACAGATCAGATCAGGCTAAACTCTCACAATTCAGTCTGACCTATTGGTGCTTGTCAGACAACAGAAAAAGCTAGTATTTGTAGTTTGGAATAAACTTTTCGTATCTGTCATCAGTTAAATCCTTCTATTAGCACGTTTATAAAAAGGACAAAAATATATGCATGAAATGAGGAACATTCTGTTCGACACACGTATCTATCAAACTGACAGCTAGTATCAACATTAGTCTTACTACTTTTGTATTGCATTTTATCAGTCCAATTTACATAAAAATCAATACACATTAGATACGATACAATTGTTAAGATTACTTCGTTATATTATAAACTGTCGATCGTACATTTAGTATAAGCTAGTGCAACAATCACTATCCAAGAACGATGAATTATAGAGACAACCTTTCTCACTTAAGTTGGTGAATGTTTATTAGGTATCGCAATTTTCACATATATTAGAAGTTAAAAATATTCCACTAATGTTTATGCACGAGTATTTTCATGGCCCAGAATCTGATGTGTCCCCAATCTTGAAACCCTCGTAAGCTCTCTGTTCGTAATATAGTTTTATACAAAGTCAATCAAAAATGTGTCGAGAGTACTAAAACAAATGATGTATGAATATAATTATGAAGCAAAAAATTGTGATTTATTCGAGCGTTAATACGACAAATAGATTAGGATACATTGTGCAGTCATATAAAGAAGATTTTCAACTTGTGATTATCTGATTTTTTGTTAAAACTAGATATTGTTCTTTCTTACCAAAACAATTATATTAACAAAAAAAAAGTGTTGTCATCGATTATTTGATCAGCATAGAAGGGAAACAATCCATTGAATAAAATATATTATGATGATGATGGATGTTCTCAAATCTGGATAACAAACATTCATGATTTCTTTTCTTCGTTATTAAAATTATACTATGAATAGAATATATTTATAACAAAAAAAAACAATTAATTAAACAAAAAAGGATAATTTATTAGATATTATTGATGAGCATGAATTTTATTCTTGAACTTAATTGTATTAACTGAACTGCTCATCTAATTAAACCAATAACTACAATACAATAATTCGTAGATATTGAGCTTATATTTCTCTATTACAAATTAAAAATCTTTTATGAATTTTCTTTAAATAAAATTTTTATTTTCATCCATAAATAATATCAATACACCTCAACATTACTTCAATAAGTCATGTTTGTTCCCTTCTTTTTTTGGACGTTTTTTATTGACTTTTAGTCTCCGATTGTTTTTTTCTGATAACAGTCTATAAATGAATAATAATATCAAATAAAGACAAAATAAAAAACTCTCATATTTTATTCATGATAAAGAAAAACAACCTTCTTCTGTTTTAAAGTTTAATAAATGTTTGTTTTCTTTTACCCTTTCTGATGATCAAAGAAAAGATTCGACCTAGATCAATCTTCTCCTATTTCTCTTCAATTTTCTGTTTTTTTTTTTAACAATTTCTTATATTCATACCTCATCAATATTGGTAATAAGATCACGTTCGCCTGTTGGCTGTTTGAAAAAATCTCTTACCATAAGTAAAATATCACACTATAAAATAAAACTTATCTCTAAGATTTCAAATTTCTATTCTTACCGTTGAAATTTTAAATTTTGATTTATCAAACATACTTGCTTGTCTTTCATATCTATTTGAAGTTAACATTGATGAATAATTGAACATAACAAAAAACAATTCTGTTTTTGTTCCTTTAGATGAGTTACTTCCAAAAAAAAAAAAACAAGAAGTGAGAAAAAAAATTGCAACACAATCGTTTTTTTTTCTTATACAGGAAATTTGATCTTTCCTCTCGTCTTAGCTCAATTGTTGACGGCAAACATTTTGCAAGCAAAATTATAGTAATACATAGAGAAAAAAAATAAAAACTTAATTGTGACTGCTCGACAAAGCACAAAATATTAAACTTATAGAAAGAAAAAATAAATACTTATTATATTGATATAGAACAAAACGGTATTATATGTAAAATTCTTTTTTCATGAGATCATGTTTTTTGTTAGGATTGATTATGAAGACTATTGGATATTCATTATGTTGACAATATGTCTAAGATGATCAACTTTCGACACATTTGAAAGAGTATGACTCGTTCACATTCGAGTTTTTAAACTTTTGGTTTTCGCATGTACTGTTTTATGTTTTAAATTTTTATTACTCAATGATTTATAGAGAAAAATCTACTTGAATTGAAATTAAAAAAATGACTCGGCCATATATTTGCTCAGGACGAGAACAGAAAACTTCTGTTAATGAATTTTTATACCGTTGGTTCAGCTACTAAGATAGTTTCTTCGATAGAGAATTATCAGTAAACAAGAAAGATGAACTCGTATGTCTACGTTGATGTCTTCTATCGAACTTGGCTTTATTTTATATCTGGACTACGAACATATTTCTACGAAACTGCAACAAGTCGTTTTTATGATCTCATAATTTAACTAAAAAAAATGTTCTATGGATTCGAATATAATATTATGCACTTATCTCTTTGAGATCTTTTTTGATAAAGTACATGTTACATAAACTGAAGGTTATAGAGATAAATCTTTTTTATGTTTTCTTAGTTTTATTGAAATATATTCGTAATTAAAATAAGAATTAAAATAATATTCATATACTAAAATATTTTCTTTTTTCAATAGATATAATCAAAGGATTCAAAAATTAATATTTTTAGTAAAATATTTATACTTTCTGCTTCACTCCTATTGAAAAAAACCTTTTTCTTCCATACATAAGTATCTATTTGAGGATACAACATTAATCTTTATACTTTTATTCATATAATATATATATATATATATATCAAATATTAATTAAAAAGAAACTATTTGCTTTATTACGAATTCACTATTTAAAAACGTGTTGAGCTACTATGAAAACGCCGACGGAAAAGAAGCAAGTGTACAAGTGTTCACAATATTTCTATACAATTCACTCTCCTAATCATTGTTTTTGTTATATATGAAAAACAGATACAACAATAATTGTAAGAAAAACAAATAAACATGATGTCATTTTTTGATGACCACTATTATAAAAATAAGGTGAATTTGGATTTGAATATGCATTATTATTATTGTTATTATTTAATTCTCGATTTTGTTGAAACCATGTATTACCAGCATTAGTATTATATGGATTATTATTATTATTATTTGGCCATACATTATTATTGCTATTCATGCCCATTTGTCCACTACCAGTATTACTGTTTGGATATAAATTTGCATTAATACCATAGGGATTATTATTTGTATTTGCTGGTGCATTATAAATATCTTTATTATTTAGCATTTGATTTGTATTTGGTTGATAACCTATTTGAGAATTTGATGAAGGATATAATGAAGAACCAGCCGATCCTTTAAATACAGAAACATATTATAGTACGAAGAAAAATCTCTTGTGTCTTTTTTTTTTGTTTTGCTATTAACCTGCTGGTAAAAGATTACTATTACTATCCCGCATTCCCATATTTACATTTGGGTCACGTAAAAGTTGATTTGTTCCACTAGCGGAATAAAGACTACTTCCACCGTATGAAGGATTTTGTAAGACTTGACCACTTGGTCCATATAATTGTTGTTGTTGTTGCTGCTGTTGTTGCTGTTGTTGTTGTTGATTATATAAACCAGCATTATTCATTGAACTACCAGCATTCGATGGTAAAATCGGATTACCATATAAATCTTTTGAACCTTGATTATTTAAATTTGTGCCATAGAAATTTGTATTCGATGGATAATTATATCCTGTTGGTGCATTTGCACCTAAATTTGAATTTCCATATATTGATCCAGATGGTTGCTGACGACGACGACGACGACGAATAGTATTGCCATTGATACCTAAAATTGAAAAAATACTTGTTTTATTTTGTCTGTAGGCGAATGAAAATTGGAAATATTTAAATAAAAATCAAATACGTACTATTGATAAATAATGTTTGCAGACACAATGATAAGATGATTATTTGAAACCAATACATGATATATTATTTTGAATGATAATAATAATTTATTGCAAAAATTTATAGTTTACGATTAGTTTTAGCTTTATACAAACGTCGATGATGAGGTGACATGCAATGAGAGGTCAGCTAGACGGTAGCTCTAGTCTCTTTTTTTTTCTCTCGTTCTTTTCAGGTGACACTGTGTGTACGTGGTAGGCCTATGTTCGTCGATGAACGAAAATTTTTCTTTTTAGTCCTTCTGTCTCAGTTAGATGCGAGACATATAAAACAACTTTTTTTTTCTTTTTCCTCCTTTCTTTTCTTGTTCTGTACATAGCTGCTAGATAAATCTTATGCTCTCTATTTACTATTGTCAATCTCTCTCCAATGGGGCATAAGTAAAGAACGAGCAATAGATGTAATAAATATAATCATGTTGATTCTGTTTGTCTGTTCATTTGTTGTCGCCCCTATTCGATTTACATCTTTCTCTTATATATATATATATATATATTGACTGGAATTTTCTTTTTCTTCTTTGTCTCTCGATCTATGTAAAAGAACAAAGTTGGATTGTATTGAATCATTATTTTCTCTTAAACAGATGACCGTTGTATAGACGTGAGAAAGAGAGAAATTTTTCCCCGTTCTGTCGATGACGTGAAAAAAAAAAACTTTGCTTCAGTATTAGTAATCATAAAAAAGCATGCTATTACAAGAGTCTTTTTTATGGTATTTGACAACAAATAAAATTATTATGAAATAATCAAGACAATAAAGATGAATTTCATCGACACCTTTTTTAACATAATACCTAGAATTTTCTCTAGTATATGTATATATGTTGACTAATAATACAAGAGTGTTTCAATAACGTCAATACTTATTCAAACAGCTTGAATTTAATTTAAAAAAAAGAAAGAACTTTTACAAATTGATAAGCAAATAGATGGCAATCTTAGTTTTCGTTTTTGTGCACATCGCATTATTTGAATGAAATAAACTTTTGTAAATACAAATAGAATATGTCCATGAATGTGAAGGTGAAAGTTTTGTGTGCAAGAATGATATTGATATGTCGTGAAGTTTCAGTTATCCTTGGAACCATCATTGATGGACTTGCGAACAGGTGAGGGTGGATTAAGTCCAACAGGATTGCCATCTCCTTTAGCATCTGAAGCACCACCCGATCGTCCTTGAGCGCCAGCATTTTTTGATGTTCGATACAAAGGATTTCCTACATTCAGCAAAACACTTTTTCTCTTTCATATTTTATATTGAATATTATTACTACCTTGATTATAATAACCATATTGATTACCGTAGCCTGCACTTCCATAACCAGATGGGTAATTTGAGCCCTGACTTCCATAACCATATAAGTTAGATCCATATTGTCCAGTACCATAACTACCACCTGTATTCGGATATTGATTGTAGTTTGTCCCATATGGATATTGATTACTACCATACGCTAAGATAAAAAATAGATGTTGTATTCAAAGAAAAAACAAACATAAAATAATAAAGTTATTTACTGTTACTGTATGTATTGTACGGATATCCTTGACCATACTGACCCATACCAGTACCATACTGGCCCATACCAGAACCATACTGACCCATACCAGCACCATACTGACCCATACCAGCACCATACTGACCCATACCAGCACCATACTGACCCATACCAGCACCATACTGGCCCATACCAGTACCATACTGACCCATACCAGTACCATAATAATTTTGACCATACATAGAACCTGCTCCATAAGTATTATAAGGATTACTTCCAGAATATTGACCACCCGATGGATAATAACTTCCTGTTCCATAGTAACTACCTGAAGTGCCATATGGATTTTGAGAATACAAACTTGATTTTAGTTGACGTCGTTTACGACGTGCGCGACCATCAGCAACTATAGATATATATATAACATTCATATTCATTATAATTAAAACAATAGTAGATAACTTACAAGTTGATGAGATAATTAAAAGAAGCACGATCAATTTAAAAATTGTCATTGTGTGACACTCGTTGAAATGATTGTATGTCGTATGTCTGAAAGCGTATGTATGCGCAGATGATTGCAATATGTGTACAGTTACGTTATACTTTATATAAATATTACTCTTGATTGGCCAAATTTTCTCTTTTTTACCCCTCTCTCTCTCTCTCTCTGTCTTCCGGCACTGTATGCATCAATCCTTACAAATTTTCTGCTCGTTTTTTTCTCCTTGCTCTCACTATGTGAGAGCTCGTCTTGCAATACGTTTATGTGTGGCCATGTTTTTTTTTGTGTTACACAAAAAAAATGTTGCTGTGTGCTCACATGATTCATATCGATTACAGAAACTCATTTGACTTTTTCTTGCGTAGTAATAAAAAACAAAATGAGTGCAGACAGTAACAGAAATATACATATATAAACAAGGACCATTGAAATGAATCATATGCTAAAATGAAAAAAAAGTCGAATTTGTATTCGGAATATTTGTATATGATGATTTTTATGAGCCATGCATTGAAAATGTGCTGTAATTTTATGTAACAGATGAGCCGGAATAAATGTTTCTCTAGGAAGCTTTTCTCACTATTGCGGCCATGGTTCATCGTCAAGCCTTAAGCTTTTTTCTTTCTCAGGGTTGAAATTCTACTAAAACGTATCATAAGTTTTTCAGCAGAAGAATTCGATAAGTATTACTGTGAGGCTACAACTTTTATAGGACTTGACAAGCTCTAAGTTTCGACTATCCTAGTCAAATTTTTGTATCAAGGTCTGTCACATAAATGGATTGTTTGTTTTTTCTTCTTAACTTGAAAAAAGTAACAGCTTTCAATTAACGAGTTTGCGGCTCGCAGTCAAGTTTGCATAATTCGATTAAAAAAAACTTGAGTAAATATAACTAAGATTTTATTCAATTTCAAGAGAAATGAATGATGCACACAGACTGAAGTACAAGAATTCGAATAGGATTCTTTATTCCTGTGTTCTGCATAAAATGAGTAAAGTTTTTTTTACTTGTTTCTGATTCAGCTTTAATAGTATAGTGCTTGTGTCACAATACTTGTTTGAAACGACCTTCAGTGTACATGATGAGTAAGAACGCACTTAGTCATACTCCTAAAAAACGGTATGCTGAACTGTTGTAATATTATCTATTTAATTTTACTGGTTAAAAAAAACTTATGATACATTCTTGTAAAGAATTGAATGATGAGCCCTAGTTTGATCAAAAAATAAAATTTAGATAGATAAGAACGTCGAATCATAAATATGTCAAACAGTAAAAAACATCGAGAGATAAAAATGCCATTTTGTTGAATTGTCGAAATTATATAGATTATTATTGTTTTAAAGATAAAAAATTCAATATATTTATTTGCTTTGCAGTATTGATATTCATAAGGGTGTGTGATAAATTTTGACGGTTCTGATTGCTAAAAATGAGAAAAACACCGACTTCGAAAGTACGACATGGAACTGAAGTCGTTTAATCATCTAATAGATATGAAAATTTTAAATATATTTTGAGAAATTTTCGGATGACTGGATTTTTGCCAATTGGGGAAATTTCCTATACTGAAATCTTGAATTTCAAGAATAAAAAATGAAGACTTTCGAAATAGATTTGACAATTTTTGTTTCTATTTGATAATTTAATAGTTTCGGTTCACTTTAAGTTGTTTCGAACTGCCAAAGTCTAGTAGGCGAAAGTATGGGCTTTAATTAATTGACTGAATCAATTGAATTATGAATTTTATTTTAAAAAAATGAGTTTAACGCTTGGTCACGGTCAACAGAAAATACTTAGAGCGATGTTTAGTCTGGCACAATCGTCATAAGCAAATATTATATTGTCGAAGAAGTCTTTTCTTTATTTTCATGTGATGGTCAAATCAAACAGTGATTGCTTTTTTCCCCTCATATCCTGCTTTCTTTTATATTGCTATTCTTAGAACGTACATAATAGACATAGCAATACTTGTACATATAAGTCAACATTTTTTTCTCTCTATATGTTCAATATAAGTAAAATTCTTGGCTGGTATGACAAGAAATCTCCAAAAAACAAAGAATCTTGTCATTCTTGCAACCTAAATCTAATTATTTTCATTGTAGCCTAGAGCCAATATCCGGAATAATCTAGTAAGATTTTTTTTTAATTTTAATCTTATAATTAAAGTATTACGTCAAGGAAAAAAGAACGGTACACAAAAATATGGACATGTGCGGAAAATATATCGAATGATGTTGGACTAGAAAAAAACATCAATCACATTTGAATGACTGGTCATAATAATATCGAGGATAAATATGATATTGAGATAATAGATCAAAATTATCTATATGTAATATTTGTTTTGAACTTTTTGTTATATACTAAAATGTATTTGATGAAAACTCTGCCGAAATATTTAACGAGTGCAAATAGTCGATTTAACATAACGATGATCATAGGTTCGATATTGATCTTTTCATTTATTTAACATCGAGTCTTTTATGTTTTTATGCATAATAAATATACATTTATTTTTGTTCTTAAAATATTAATTTCGTTTTATTGATTTGATATTCAAAAAACAAGTGTGCCCTTTTTCATAATAAGTTATTTTTATTATATGAAAAAAAAAATGTTACCATTGATTTAATTTATTGACTAACAAGTTCTTGATTATTTTATCATCTTCGATAATCATATATCCACTGTTTGATAAATCTGATGAATATTGTCATCAGTGGCGTACGCAGAAATTTTTCAAGGGGGGCCCAACTTCGTAAGGGGGGGACCCGCCATGGCACAACAAATTTTTTATCACGCGAAAATATTTTTTCCTGTAGCCCCCTTCAGGACTTTTTCGTCTCAAGGGGGGGGGGGGGCCCGGGCCCCCTCGCCCCTCCCCCCTGCGTACGCCACTGATTGTCATAATGATTTGTTGAATGATATGATTGCTGCGCATGTAATTCAAACTGGAAAAAAAAACATCGGTATACTGGCAATCAATCGGCAATAATTGGATACTTAAACACTCGAGTATCTTCGGACCACTATTTTCCCGCGGTATATCGACGACAATGCGAAGAAGTGTGCAATATGGTTGCTTATTGCTTTTTTTCTCCATATTTGTTTGTATAGAAATTAACAGAAATGTCACAACATGTTTTTTTTTACAATTGGAATATTCTCAGCAAGAAGAACCCGAACTGGAATCATTGTCAAAAGGTATAGAAAGTCGTTTGATTCAACAGCGAGAAGACATGGACCAACCTAGGATCAGATAAAATCATATCGTATTGCTGTCTGGATACTAGATATTTTTTTTGATCTGTTCTCCTTTCTTCAAGTATAAGTAGCTGAAGGTTAAAGCTTTAATTGTACTTCTTTTTTAAATTAGGGGAAAAACAGTTAGTCACATTTCAAGTCATAACTCCTTCTATGCACATCCTTAAAAGAAAAAAAAACATACACATGAAAGACAATAACTTGCACTTTTATACTAGGAGCTAATTGTACGAAATCGATTCATCAAGAGAAAAAGATTTTTGTATACAATCATATATTTCTACTGTAAGAACTATTGACGATACAGTTTGGTTTGTCAGTAGAGGACGAATCGATATAATAAAATTTGGACTTTATATTCATCCTTCAGTTTTACTAATTTGTAAATTGCATGAATAACAACAAACTGGAGAAGTAACTTACGTCCGCCCTCAGTAATGATGTTTATTGAATTACTTCATATCTGCAGAATATAACTATGTCACACATAACAGACGCTTATGTAGAAGAAAGCAAGACAGTGAGGTGAGCACAAGAAAGACGAATAGAGATAAGATAAAGAGGCAAAATGAAAGGAAGATTAGTACGGAAGTGATATCCATATCGACACAGCATGATTTATCACACTCTAGTTAAGGATATATTCAAACGAAGAGATACATGAATAATTTCTCGTTATCAAAATTTGATTTGCCTTCACTACGATGATTATCGTGTGTGGATTTAACAATATTAACTTGTCATTGTTGACTTTTTAAATGATGAAAATACGTAACGTCGATTGTAGTTTCTATCTACTGACATGTTCGATAAACCTGTGAAATTGTTTTCAATTGCTTTTAAAACGATTAGATTAAACGCACATCAAAAGTACTTTGCAATAAAGTGAAGTACTTAGTAGTGTAACATTCGTACGTTGATATAAGTTAATAAATGGCAAAAACTTTGTATTGATTGTTTAAAAATCTTTTTTCGTACATGTCGGATGGTAGAACGAATACCGCAAATATCATCATCGATGGGATGAATAAAATGAAATGACCAATTAGATAAAACTAAGAATCTCGAGCTGATGTAATTAGAATACATGGTAAAATTAACAAATGTTCATGCGTTGTTATTTGTTGATATAAATATTGTTTGAATGATTGTCTCTTTTGTGAGTTTGAACAAGTATATAAGCTGTAGTGTAAATAATAACTAATGCCGAGATGCAATTCATTGAGAATGAAATACATTCAAAGCTGAATTAAATATTTTTTATCAATGATGAATACTTGCTGATACATCATATTTACTTTTTGTTTCGTTAAAATATATTCCTTTTGAAACGTTTACATAACATTCAACAGCTACGCAAGCATTGAACCAATCATCAGTATTGAGAAAAAACCGAAGAAAAAAATTCAAGGAATGAACATGATGCGTTTAAGAATAGGCGATTATTAATCCAACCAATTTGTAATGCTAAGAAAAATCAAAATTTCATTGTAAATATGGTCATAGATATTATAAATGTGATGAATGTGGCAACAAGATATAGACCACAACCAACACTACGTGTTTCTTGTCTTTGGAATGTTTGAAAACAGAATAAACTATTCAACACACCACAAACATACATGAGCGTAGTTAATATGGGAGGCAATCACTTTGCCGAAGATAACTTTGCCGACGTAACACTTTGCCGACACCACTTTGCCGACAAATTGTTTTGCCGACATGTGCTTTTTGCCGAC